ATATATGGCCATTCCAAGGCAATACATTTCACCAAAGCCAAACAGATCAAGAATACATAATGAAATTTGCACAGGAAACAGGAAAGTTATGCTTTGTCACTGAATCATAACTTCTTAGCTGTTGATACAGGTTGTCCCCAAGGCTTACTGCAAAGTAACAGAGCGTGAGCTGTGTTTCAGAGGCCACTAAATAACAGCTCCTGAACCTGCAGTTGTCTGTCTGGGAGCAAGTGATAATGCCTTTTCAAAAGTGCCCCTGGATGACTAAGTGTTAGATGTGCTCAGGGCTCCAAAGATGTTACCTGTAGACCCACAGGAGACCCATCACAGTGGAGGCTGGGAGCAAGAAACCAGAAAGCACTAGCTCTAGGCTGAGAAGCCAGGCTTTTCTACGCAGTCTCCAGTGGAGACTTCAGGCTGGAGCAGTCTCCAAAAACCTCCTGTCTCTTCTACACTGTAGTGATTCCTTTGACTCTCCGCTATATGTTGTTAGTAGCGTACAGAGCTTTGTATATTTGGACAGTCTCATATAGGGCTTAGATATTTTAAGGACACACACAAAATTTCATGCCCGGTGTGAAGTGGTAGTGCTGTGCCTTCCCCCCACTCCATCATACTTTCTTTTCTGTAGAAACCAAGTTGTCCATTGATGTCCATGCTAAATCCAAAGTTGCTTCAGTTTATTTTCCACCATGTGGGAATCAGCATTCTTACTTGTCTTAGCGTTTTGACATGTATGAAATGTCCCAGTATTACAGCAATACTTAAAGAACCACAGATGTGTTAACCATTAAGCAGATAATCCGCCAGACACATTATAGTACTGGAAAAGCTTATTACAATTCACTCATCAAAGTAAATGAAAAGAGATGCTACAGCTAGTTAACTAGATACCTAGAAGTAATGAATAATGTGTCATTTGGACAGTAACATCCAGGTGTTACAAACTCAGTATTATTTATAAAAACTATAATTTCTATTCTTTAGAGTGGCTTGTCCTATCAGCAGATGAATGCGCTAAGCACAAAGCGTCTTCCTTAAAGCACAAGAAGAGAGCTGCTACACTGATGCTGCATCTAGAAACACCTATAAGTTGCCTTTCCTCTCTGTAGTAAGTGTCCAGGCAGGCGAGGGAAGACTAGGCATGGGAAGTCTACAGAGAGCCATCCTGGTCCCCAGCCCAGCCCCTGCCAATGTTGGTGACTCAAGCAGTCCTCATGGCTGGCCAAAGACTGTCTAGTTGTTGGGCTTCCCACTGGTGCCAGGCTCCTTTGCACACGCACTCTGCTTGGAGTTTGGCTGTGGGTGTCAGTAGGAAAGGGTAGCAGGAGGCACTGTCATTTTTGTGATTTAGTAACAGTGAAATCCAGGAAAGATAAATTTTGTTGCTTTTATTGATTCTTTATTCCTCCTCATACTTAAGATTGATGATTTTGTGAGATGAACATAATTTCATTTGAGAGATCATTTCATTAAGATCTCTAATCTGTTTTAAAGCTTTGCAAAATAAGCCAGTTATAAAACGGGGCTTGATTTGTTTAGCCTGGAGGAGGATGTTTTCCCAAAATAAACTGCAGAAGCACTGTAATATTGATGAAATGCCTTCCACATTGAAAATGGGGGCCGCTCATTTCAGGACTGCAGGAATGGCACCGCTACAGATTGGCATAAACTCCTGCCCCCCAACAGGGCCATGAGCTGCTTAGCCCAGGAGACCTAGGAGCTATGGCAGGACAGTTAGGCGACAGATGAGGGGCTGCGGAGAGGCTGTCAGAAGGTTAAAGGCTGCCGAGAGAAGCCAAGAAGCACCCAGCAGCGGCCAGGCCTGCTAGGCACTGACACAGAGCGGAGGTGAGGACAGTCTCCTGGCGAAGAGCATGATCCGTCCTGCCTGCTGGAATCCCTGTCGTAAGCTCCCATTTGCTCATCTCACCCATTTCAAGCAGAAATCACTAAGCTCCATGACCACCTGTATTTCCTGAGCTGAAGCTGGTGAGAGATGAGCTGTGGTGGTCAGCCCGTCTGATTACCTGTGTTGCTGTCCCCTAACTAGTGACCCATGGAAGCTTCCGAGCCATTTTCTCCTCACAAATACTAAAGTAACACTAAGAAGGCTTAGACCCACTCTTGATGAGGGGCAACTCTGAAATACTGACATACTTGCCTGTCTCTGGTCAGCAGTGTGTACACTACTGTATAGTAACCCTTAGCTTTTGTTGTCTTGTAAACCAGGCTCCTCCTAAGAGACTGGTAAGACAAACGTAAGGTAAAAATTTCATTCGGCAAAAAGTGCAATATGTGTGGTACATTTTTGTTTTTTGTTTAATGGTCTTTTGTTAATCCACGGGTGTCACTCTCTGCTTTGGAGGAAATGCACTAGTTCTGCAATTTCCAGTTGGGCAAGTGTGTCTCTAGTATTTACATGCAACTGACATGCTGGTCCCTGTAAGGCAAATAGAGGGTGTTAATGCAACAGGAAGATGATGGGTTGGGAGGGTCCCACTCCGATACTCCGAGGGAGCTACCTGACCAGTCCTAGCCCCTCACCCTGCCCTGCCTTGGCCTGCCTCAGCTGCCCTCCTGCTACCTTGGGAACAAAGAAGGGGATGGTTCTCTATGTCCACAACCCTCCAGAATCTACCAAATGGGAAATAGTGGGGGCCCAGGAAAACAAGAGTTGGGATTGATGTGAGATGTGAGAGTTGATCCGAGCAAAGCCTTTCCTTGCAACCTAGGAAAAAGAAAGCTAGGGTCCCTCTCTCCTAATAAGAGCTCACAAAGTTTTACCCTGTCCTGGTATCAGGGAGTGGACTTCCATCAACTTTGGCTTCTTATGCTCCCTCCTAGCATCAATAATGGAGTTACTACATTGTTAACAGGGGTGGGAAGGCCAGCCAATGGAGCAACGTCCCCCGCCCTGCCTACCACTCCAACACCTAGGGCGCTCAGCAGCAGAGATTCATCACAGGCCTGACCTCTCCCACCCGTGCTCCAGGAGTCATTATATCTAAGGCAGGAATACTAGGAAAGCCCTTGCCCAAATGTTAGGACTGGGAAGAAAGGTGTGTTCTCAGCTGGGGAGTAACAGGTGATCTAGAAACTGCAGGAACGTGAAACATAGCAGCCTCCAGTGCCAGCTGATCAAGGACTCCAGGTGAGCTGACAGCACAGGACAGGGACCCAGTGAGCTCTTCTCCCTCTGCAGGGTACTCCAGCCTCTATGCAAACCCACCTTTTCAGTGTATTGTTATCAGAGCTTCTCTGCTCCAGATTATACTTTACAACCCATATTAACAGTTAATTAAACTCCCTGCTTGTTTAAAGAAAACTCATACTCCAGATAACTTTTTCACATTCCTCCTTTAGAGATAATACGTAGTGTCATTTGACAACACTGGTCCCAGTGGGCAGTTGCAGAGTTCCTGTGCCAGGGCTGACCTTTGCTGCGTTTGTACCCCTAAGCTGGGCTGCCTCTACTGCCTCCTTGGAAGCCACCCAAGCCACTCAGTCTCTCTGTGCCTAGACATCAAAGGTAAAAACTGGAGAACAGGTAGTAAGTTGGAGTCATTGCTTAGGCAACGATCTATCATTTTGTTGCTTCTGGAAATTTTTTACAGAACTTATCTTCAGTATGATTGTGGGAGAAAAGAGCAGTATTATCTGCTGATTTCTAAGTTTAGCAACAGCAAAAAAAAAAAACTTTGAAAAACATATAGCAGGTCTTCCCTGTCCCACAGCCCAGGGAAGTGAGAGACTCCAGAGCTTTTTCCACCAGTCTTGGTTGCAGAATGGACTGAGACAGTGGCCCTTTGATGCCCCTTTTGGCCCAGAAGCCTCTGATCTTCCAATACCCTCTCACAGACTTGTTTCCCCATTTTCACCTAGTTACACAGCCTACCTGATTCCAGAAGACTCCCAGCCATCCTGATTGCACCACTATCTCATGTCCACGTCATATGTGGGCAGATTTCAACACATTTGGCAGACCTGGGCATATGACTACATGGATTGACAAACAGATAGCGTAGCGATACTGCTCGGGAGTTTAACCAGTGATGGTTCTGATGGTTCCTGCCCACTTGGCTTGCCTGTCATAAAAGAGTAGCTTCTATTTCTACAGCAGCTTACCAAGCACTTTCACAAGTAATCTTTTGTAATCCTTACACTAATTCTGTAAAATTATTTGGGGGAGATACTGTCCTTATTTTTCTCAGCTGAAGAAAGCAAAGCTCTTGGAAGTATACATGACTTAGCTGAGATCACAGAGCTCATGAGTGGAGGTGACAGGACAAACACTTTGGTTGACTGGCTCCTGGCTTTGGTTCTGTTGGAGCCTTGTCCCTCACCACAAGCACCACCTCCCCGTCATCTTCAATCTTCAGCAGCCATCTCTTTTCATAATCAAAACAGCTGTATAAACAAAGCCCTGTAGCTGTGCCCTCCGCTTGACAGCTGCCTGGATTTAGGGCAGAAGTGCCCTTCGGGTGATAACTGAAGCTATCCAGGTAGTCCTTCATTGGACAAGGAGGGGGAGAGACAAATGCCACAGATTAGCCATCTTAGTATCCAGTGAACTGCAGTTTAGGCTTCGTCAAAGATGTTTACTTGCACAGTGATTTTCCTCTACAAGTATATGATAGAGGGACACACCCCTCCTTCATTGCCAAAGGGCCAAAGGGGCCCACCACTTAGTCAGCAGATTCAACTCCAGAGACAACAGTTGCCCAAAGAATCACAACCCAACCTTTATCCTAAAGGGAGGGATTGTATAACATTTCTTTACAATTAAGTCCTGTCAAGTAAGAAGACTTATTAGATAACTTTAAAGATTAAAAAAGTAGCAACATGAATACTTTTGTTTTTAAAAAGCCAAAATGAACAAGTAGGGGTAGCTTTAAAAATGGAAGCACAAGCCGGGTATGGTGGCACAGGCCTTTAATCCCAGCACTAGAGAGGCAGAGGCAGGGAGACCTCTGTGAGTTCAAGGCCAGCCTGGTGTAGCAAGTGCCAGGCCAGCTGGAGCTACAGAAAAACCCTGTCTCAAAAAGACCAAAAAAAAAAAAAAAAAATACAATGTGACTCCAGATGGAGTAATGCTACATTAGTAAATGCAAGTAACCAGACCTTGCCGCTGGCTGTGATACCTGTCTATTCAGGGTTTGCCAGGTCAAGAGGATTCAAATGGTGATCCCTTCCTACTACCCACAGCAATAGAACTCTGCCTCTACCAAAATCTCTGAAGGGAAAAGCAGCAGAGAGAAGGGGGTTGGCTTATCTAATTTAAGGAAGAAGAGTGGTAAGGATATTTGCACTTTGTAGGAGAGGCAAGATTATCTGCTTATTGTGGAAGGGAGAGGAGTGGCCTTGCTGGATTCAGTTTGGTCTGTGAGTTTTGATAAGCTTACCTAATTGTAGTTATTTTTCCTGTGTGCTTTTTAATTACTAAGAAAAAACTCGTGACTTCAATAACTTTGGTATTTTGAGTACAAATCATAATAGCTCCAGTGTGAAGAAAAAAAAAAGTGTAACCTGTCACTCAATGTTAGAAAATCACCTAAAATGCAGTTTAATAAATGATCTTTGTACCAAATGGTAATTTAAATGGGGTAATTTTCTGAAAGGAAAATGTACTGTTTTTATGTTTCCAACCCTCTTGAATTAAAATAAAAACAACTTGTTTTCTAAAAAGCCTAGTGATATATCAGGCTACTGAGATGGTAGGTGGGGCTCTGCCTCATCAGGCCTTGGGTGGAAAGTGGCTGTGCTCTGAGTCTGGTGTTCATTTCAAGCTACAGGAGAGGGCAGTGGATAATATGTTCTCATTGACGTCAGCAGGGTAAATAATACCTTGCTCTCAATCGCCTGAGTACACGTTAGCTGCTACAGATCGCTGACGGAAACACTGCTAACCGCAGCCTGCACACAGACGGGGCCCCACTGGGCCTGATTAATAATGTTCCTTGATGTTAGTCTCAGGACAAAGCCTATCGTCACAGGTAGTGTGGGCAAGGACCTCTGTCACAGGAAGAGCAACGAAGGCAAGCACAGAGTGCTCTTGTTCAGCTCCTCCAGGTAATCTGTAGGACCAGGGATAAGCCTGGGAAGGGGGGTGCTCCGAGCTGCCAGGAAAGGGGGCAAAGAACTCACTGCTCCTTAGTTACTTAGTCACAATCAATCTCAATCTCGCTCGCTCTCTCTCTCTCTCTCCCTCCCCTTCCATCCCTCTCTCTTACCTCCCTCCCTCCCTCTCCCGCTCCCCCTCCCCACCCCAACTGGGATAAGCATTCTTTAAGCTCCAACCCTGTGCCCTTAGGGTACCAGAGAATCCCTTTGCCAAGTTGCTTTCATATGTTCTGGACTTGTGGGGCCAGACCCCAAGTGAAAGGGCAGATTAAATCCTGCTTTCTGGCAGTGAGCGCAGCTGAGATTTGGTTTCCATCACTTAAGCCATTCCCCTGAGCCCACGTTAGAGAACTGTAACAGTTCCTGAGCAGGCTAGCCTGGTGGCTATGGGGTGCTCACAAGAGGTTGCAGCTGCTTGGGGCAGGGGTAGAGGCAGAGTCCTCACTGCACATTTGCACTGTGCAGTATCACGCACAGGCGCTTGTCCTGCCTTCAAACAGCTCTTCCCCTTGGAAGAGAACTCAGTACCACTGTTTCTTTTTTTAATTTAGTAACTTTTTTAAGCTTTCCCCTCTCCCACTTAATTTCTCTTTCATTGTAATGCTGCCAAAACCAACTCGAGTGTCCCAGTGTACAGACAACTATAGCAAGGGGCTTGCCTGAAGACACTTGACCAGCTAGGAAGCCGCTCAGGCCTCCATCCCTCCATCACAGGACAGCCTTCACTTCCATGGCAAGCACCTGGGGTTTGCACACATGCCAAGCATGAAGACCCTGTGAAGAGCAGAGAAAGAATAGGCCATAGAGGCCAGAGCAAGCCCTGTGGCCTCTGCCTGGCTGGGCTCAAAGACACAACAGACCAGCACTCATCACATTTCCAAAATCTCCAGTAATCCTATGTGGCCAGGTATAAACAAGCCCAAGGTTTTGTTCTTGGGGGCTGCACTTTTCCTTTCTTCCCCCACTACTTAAATTGAGGAAATCTGTCCTTTGACATGCAGAGAAATCTTTGAACTCATCACCAAAATACACCACCTACATAGATGCTCACTGGGCCATTCGGTTTCCAGGGAGGGGTTGGTTCCTGAATCCAGAGGCTCACCCTGGGCCACGGGGAAAGACCCTTTATCTCTACCCCCTTCAAAGTAAAGTTCTTAACAGTGACACTCCCTGCTGAAGGGGTTCTAATACCTCCAACTGGATCCCGAAAGGAGGGGCCCCCAGCTCAGCCTGCAGCCCAAGAACAGTTCTTGGAAGTGAGTCCGGGCTATTTATGCTATTTTTTTTTATCTTAGTATGATTATCTTTAAACACCCGTTATCTCTACCCCCTTCAAAGTAAAGTTCTTAACAGTGACACTCCCTGCTGAAGGGGTTCTAATACCTCCAACTGGATCCCGAAAGGAGGAGCCCCCAGCTCAGCCTGCAGCCCAAGAACAGTTCTTGGAAGTGAGTCCGGGCTATTTATGCTATTTTTTTTATCTTAGTATGATTATCTTTAAACTTTTGGTGTATGAAATGATGGGTTTTTGACATCTTCACAGATACATATCCTGTACTTTGCCCACTACCTCCTTGTTCCCTCTTCCCAAAAGTATGGGATGTCATGAATTTGCATGTCATCCTTCCATAGGGGCCATGCTAATCTTCTATCCCAGTTTCAGCATGCATGCAGACAAAGCAAGCCCTGCACTAAGTCTTGAGTGCTATGTGGCTGCACAAGATATCTTGCACTCAGACTACTCTACCTTGGGTTCACTGAAGCATAACTCTATCCTTTCTTTGGCTTCAGCCAGGAATTTCAAATGCTGAGCAGCTCTTGAATGGTAAAATACTGTGCACAGATGGTTTGGGGCAGTGTCCAGTAGGAGATAGATAGATGTGGGTCTTGACCAAACCAGAGTGGTTGGACCTCACTCCAGACATGGCACTAATCATCTCTGGCACACTAGCCTCTATCCAGGGACAAAGCTTGGACCACAAATTACTGCCGAACCTGAAGTCAAGCAGAGTGGGGAGTCTGCTGTGTTCTGAGGAGTCTGCCTGCTGCAGTGTCCCAACCTTGCACCAATTCCTCTGCACCTGCAGTTGCAGATGCCCATAGTGAGCACTGCTCCCTCCCTTTTTATGTGTATAAACGGGGCTTTCCTAAGAATGACTAACTCTGCTGGCCTGAATTGGCAAAGCGCCCAAAGGGAGGAGGGACACTGTGCATAGCAGCGGACTTCCCCTGGAGCCAAGTGCCCCCCAACCCCCGCCCCAAGCTGGCTGGGCAGAAAGTTCAGAAAATTCAAGTCCAGAGAAAGCTCAGAGAAAAATTAGGCATTTAAAGCATCCAACCTCTGAAGGGAGAACTGAGTCATTCTCCATCCTCAGATCGGCTTTGAAAGCTTCTGACTCACTTTTCCTACTCCTCATTCTCTAAAGATGGAATAATGAAGCCTGAGATGCCCAAGGGAGGGCCTGACTAAGAACTCCGACCCCAAGTTACCTGCTGCATTGATGATGGGATGGGATACCACTGAACTAAGAAAATGACAAAACCTTTCATCGAAGCACACCATGCAAGGGACCCAGTTCATAGTCTTGCCTGCATCTAGGCTTAGACCCACTGGAACTACTTTAGGTCACTACAGAAACCCAAAAAGTTTAGTCAGTAAAGTATCAAACGGCAGGCTGGCAGGCAAAGTTGGAAGGGTCCTAGGGATGAAGGGCAAGCACAGAGCAAAGCTGGGAATACCAGTCCCACCCGAGGAGTAGCCAAGTCTGGGTAGCACTCCAGACCAGTGCTAAAGACAGTCCAGGGGGCAGCAAAGAATCCCTGACCAAGTCCTCAGTCCCTGAGTTTGCCCCCAGGCCTGCCACTAATCTGTGCAAATCACCATAAAGCATCCTTGTCTCCAACTCTGCTGGGAACACAGCCTGACTCCTTGCTGCCCTAAACCTGAAAACATCAAGTCTCGATCAGCAATACTTGACAGCCTGTCACAGTATCAATTCTGTCTTGCTTTAGCTTTTGACTGACCCAGTACTATGGTAGAAAATGGCTGTTTGGTTGCCTGTGAAGTCTCTGCTCACTGATTTATGGATGGATACCTATTCGGACCACTTCCCACAGGTTAATCAACTTTTCCCCAAGACTGCAGAATTTTTGGAATTGAGCTTTAGGCAGCACACAAGATCATCCCTAAGAATCTGTGATGGTTCATCTTCCTTATCAACTTGACTGGATTTGGATCACAACCTCTGGTTGTATCTGTAAGGGAGTTTCCAGAAAGGTCTGTGAAGGGAAGACTCACCCTAAATGTGGGTGACCATCCCACAACTCATCCCGGACTGAATAAAAAAAAAAAAATGGGGAGGTAGCCAGTGGAGTAGCATCTGATCTGACTGCACATGTGATGAGTGACCTCAGGTCTTACTACCATGCCTTACCCACCGTGGACCATCCCCCCCGCAAGCTGTGAGTCACAGTGGGCCCCTTCCTTAAGTTGCTTTTGTCTGGTATTTTGTCATAGTAACAAGGCAATAGTGTAATGTCCCATCTGGAAGACCTGGGGGAATACTCCTGTGCAGAGGCAGCTCCTCAGTTGTCAAATCCCCCAAAGAAGGTGCAGACAGGAGACCCAAGTCTAAGGAGTGCTCCAGCTGGCCTGTAACCAGCCTACCTACTTCTGTCTTACCAGTGTCCTTTGGGATCCAATTCCCTTAGCTGGAGGGCCCTAAGCATGGACCCAAAAGCATCTCTGGGCATTGGTGTGTGATGGTCCTGACTGGATTTGGGCTTCGGGGAGTGTAGTCTTTCTGGGTTCAAGAGCTAATCCTCTAGCCAAGAAGTTGTGCTCTTGAATGCCTATCCTTCAGATAGCCACAGCTGGGCTCCCCAGAATTACCTCTTAACACCCTAAGGTGGCACCTATGCCCCTCAGTCAGAGATCAGCTGGTTGCCTGAGCAGAACAGCCCCAACTCAGGCTAGCCACAACTACCTAGGTCCCCAGCAAGTGCTGGCTGAGATCCCAGAGAAGAGCCAAATGCCAAAAGGCAAGACCAGAGACCCCAGGAGCCCAGAAACTCTATGTAGGAGAAACTGGGGGGAAAATACCAAACAGTGGTAGAAGCAGGGGCAGGAGGAGCAAGGGGTGAGGAAGGTGAGGTCTTAGCTAAGAGAGCAGGGCCTGGGCTCTGAGTGTCTCTAAGGGACAGAGTGTCCAGACAGAAGAAAAGGAAGAGGACAGATTCTGTAACACAGTGTCTACAATCATTATTTATGGCTGTTTCACTTGATTTGAGTCTCCAAACCTGCGCCCAGCATGGAGACTGAATGTCCCTCACAGCTGCTCCTTCCTGCAATAACAAGACTGACATCACTGTTGTCAGGGAAATAGTGTTTTGATTAAAATCATGTGACAGCTACTGCATGATTCAGTAAACAAATCCACTGTTAACCCTGGCCTGACAAGCTCACCAGCAACTCTGTGGTCAGAGCAACCTCCACCCAGGAAGGAGTGGCTGAGCTGACTTGGGGATAATGGAAAGAGAAGTGGCCCAGGCTGTTCCCCGGCATGTCCTATTCGGGGGAACATGTCATCAAACACACAGAAGGCTGTGCAGATATCAAGAGCCCATCTCCATGGCACTGAGGCAGCATCCACCTTCACCAGGAGGAGCCAGCTCTCACCCCCTGGCTTGCTATCTTGGACCAAGCAGCAAGCCCAGCCTTGAGATGGGTGACTCTTAGGGCCTTGAGACTGGCCAAGAATGTTTCAGTTCCCAGGGTTCTAACATGCAGAGTCACTCTCCCCATGATGACAGATTAGTGAGCTGGCCAGGCACCATAGACAGAAAGGGGTTAAGAACAACTTCTGGTTTGCAATTGGATGACTTCCTGGATCACTCACTTGGCTGCAGGCCCCTAACACGCAAGGCTCTGCCTGGCAACAGTCAATTCCCTTTCCATCTCACCCTCAGGTCATTTTCTTTAAGTGAAATAAATGCGGGGAGGGCTCCCCCGAGTCACCAAGCAGGGGTTTTGTGGGTTAAATGAACCACAGCCTCAAAGAGCTACCACAGCTGGCCTTTAGGAGAAGGTTCCCTACCATCTGGAGAAGGTAACACCTATGCCAAGGTAGTTGAGAATTAAATGAGGTTTGGTCAGGTGCTTGACAAGCTACTGCAGTGACCGGGGCTGGAGGAATGGCAGCTAATGCTTTCCGGAGCTGATGCACCTTCCTGAGAGATGAGTGAGTCAGCTGTGGCAGGGCCAGGTCCTAGTGGGCAGGGCTCAGCTCAGGTACACATCATGAGTTGAACAGCATGGCCAGATGGCCGCGAATGTGTAGGAAGACATGACTCCTTTTATCCCTTAAGAAGTTTATGGTTGGGGCTGGAGAGATGGCTCCACAGTTGGGAGCACTGGCTGCTCTTGCAGAGATCCCGGGTTCAAATCCCAGCACCCACATGGCAGCTAACAATCATCTTTAACTCCAGTTCCAGGGGATCCAACGTCTTCTTCTGACCTCCGCGGCATTGCACGATACAGGCACACTTACATACATGCAAGCAATACACTCAAACACGTAAAAATTTTTTTAAGTTTGTGGTTGAGGCTTTAAAAAGAAGTCACAATTGTTCTCACTACTGTAGCCTGTTTCTTCCCTATGTGAAGTCCAACCACGTGGACAAAGGGATACGGAGGGCTGGCACCTCAGGCATCCGTCAGGCTTAGGGCTGCAGAGGCTACAGCACTTTCTTTTACCCACCATGCAGCAGGCAGAACACCCAGGGCTGCCCGAACCGTAAGCACCTGGGCAGCTCAGGCAAGGGACAGCAGTGCACAGGGACACATAAAGCCACGGGGATTTAAAAGGCAAACTTTGTTAAAAGAGGTTTTACACAGATTCACTGGGGTGAATGTGAGAACTCCAAATCCTTCCCAACTAATGTCGGCCTGACATTCCGATGAGGAAGCCCAGGCCCACTGCTCTCTTTCCCTGAATGCATCTGTAAGTCACACAAATCACCCTTCTACCCAATGGCCCTGAGATCACTGCTGGAGCCAAGGTGACTGCTGAACTGGAACCTGTGCGCTGTCTCCACAGTGGTAGGTAGTAAATTGGGCTTGTAAAACATTTGGAGAAATGTGAAAGAAATGGGCTCTCACATTGAGTGGAAATTACTCCCTCGGTGGAACTGGGGCAAATGACTCTCTAGCCTCTAAGGAGAGTGGAACAATGCAAAGCTGCAAGCAGCTGTTTGCCAGTCCACCCTTTGGTCATGTGGGTCTTGTCTCAGACTGGGGGGCTCAGAAGACCTCAAAACTGAGGAGAGATCTGGACAGCAAGTCCCCCACTCCACAAAGGAAGTAAAACAGCAAGACTCAAGCATATACTCTCCTAACCCTTCAGGCCATCTGTCTTGCCAAGACAGTGTGGTAGGTATGGCCTCTGCCCACTGTTGTATGGCTCCCTGAACAGTGGCAGGCTACACTGGCTGTCCTCAGTACACAAAGGACAGGACTCCGGCCCCAAGTTTCAGGGGCACTTACCTTCCCAGTGTCCTCTCCAGGCCCTCGGGGTATCAGGAAGAGATTCTTGTCAGCCCCAGGGATTCTGGGCTCTTCCCTGTCCTTCACAAGAACATCTAGCTTCCTCAGCCTTTGTGCCACCACTGGAGACATAGACCACAATGCTGTGACCGTCCTTAACCAGGGCACATCCCTCCCAAGCCCACCTTTGCTTCCCCAGCCAGGATGGCCTCAGTTGACTTGGCACTATGATGGGAAGCCAGCAGCTTACAAGGCTCTGGGCAGCTGTGCAGTAAAAGCTAGCACACACTGGATACTTACTTAACATGCCTTTTGCTCAGGAGTCACCCCATTGGGCCTTGGGGTACTAGCTGACGATTCCCCTTGGTTATGGGTAGTCTACAGAGCTCTGAACAAACCAAAAAGACCTGGCTCCTTTCAGAACTGATAGTATCAGTTTAAGACAACTCTGGAGAAAATTTACTTGGTTTTTCTTCCCAGTAATTAAACTCTCTTCATCCTCCCAAAGATTTCCATCTCAACTGAACATTACATAATTTCCTGGAAACAGCAGACCCACGGAGGCAAACAAGTAATAGTGAAGCTATTCTAGGTATAGAAGAGGACTGGAGATTCGTGAGGGAACAGGAGAGAAGGAACTAGATGGAGAGGGAACACTAATGAATCAAACTAAGTATTCACTTCACCTGTTAAACCAAGAACACTCAGCAGCAGGGCCATCTCCACACCCTGGTATCTGGGCTTTACAGCAGGAATGCCGACAGACACCAGAGGGATGAAAGCAAAAGGCAGAGGAAAGGACAAGCACCCAGCCTGTTTGGTTGCCCTACTTTGCCCTGCCGTCTCCAGTGGGATGGAAGCTATGAAAACCCCAGGCTTTCAGCTCAGCCACACACAGTGGTTAATAAACACTGAGCAAGAAAGCCTTGACACGGTACAACCACATCAGGAATGACATGCCTGCTTCCCTGGAGGTTTATGCACGTGTCCTAGATGCCTGGACAAGACAGCTCAAAGGTCAAGATGCTGCCTCTGTTGAATCAGGACAAGTCATCCAGTAAAGACACCCCCCCACCCAGGCCCTACATCACAGAAGCCAAGCTGTGGTATTTCTGTGAACTGAACGTTGCCCCTTTTTATTTCCTCAAGGCTTCATTAAAAATCACACATTAATCTGTTTATCCTTATGAAACGAGATGCATCTTCAGGTTCATATCTCCCTAGTAGCAGTTAAGAGACACAAGATCTGATCTTTTAAGTTCATCATGTGTAAACCCCAAACAATCTGTAGAAAAACACTCAAGCGAATTCCATTATTGATAGCATAGATTGAGTTTTTTGGTTCAGTTTCCTAGCAGGCTGAACAACTGATAGAAACTGCCTCGATGTAACACAGCAGCAATGTATAATCAAGGGAACTAGATAACTCCAAAAGCAACTATTGTTCAAGCTGGGGACTGGCCACAGGCCACAGGCTTTTGCTTCCTAAGAACAGAAAAATCTGTCAACTGGAGGACGAGTCTGATGACTTTAAAGACTTCATTCCAACATATCAGAAGACAGACTTTAGAAATCCACTCAGTGAACACATTTTTATTAAGCGCCGACTGTATACACCAGACATTGATGTAGGCAATGGTGATACAACACAAAACAGACAAAACCTGCCTCACAGAGCTCCTAGAGCTCATCCAGGGAAAACTAGTATGTGGAGAAAATAGCCAAGTTATAAGCCAAATGGCAATTCCTATGCAGTGAAAAAAGAATTTCACATTATTTATGTCAGGGAGAAATAATGGAGTTTCTAAATGAAGTTTCTAAGGGTCACCCAAGAAACAGGCCTGCTGTGCTCTGTGACCCATATTTGAGAAAGCAAGGGTCTACACTCTCTTCCCTTCGACAGTCTTTGACAGAGCGGCTTAAGGAGTGTGGGGACAAGGGCATTTTAGAAGTTTATCCCAAAATGAATATGGTGTGACATTTTTAACCAAAGGTAAAGCATAGTCAAAATGAAGACAATAATCTCTCAAATATGAAATTCAATAAAGAGAAATATGACCTGCAGGTAACACAAAAAACAAGCACAAAACTAAAATTCGCATGTTTACAGCATAATAGTTTAAGACACGGAAATGAGAATATTATTGTTTAGGGAACTATTTAATCCTTGGCCCTGAACTCATAAAATGGAAACTTACAAGATAATCCAGCGCTTTCAAATATAAGCAGACAATCTGATTTAAATTTTCTGTTCTGTTTTTCTAAGGTAAGATAAACTTAAAAGCATTTACTCAAACTTGGTTTTATATAACTGTTAAATGAACAAAGTTCTTTAAGTATCTTTGGGCCTTCACAAAACAGAACAGGGCTTGTTAGATTCAAAAGAGGTTATGAATGAAATCAAAAATTCAGAACCCAAAACGGAAACAGCAAACTACATGGTGAGGTGCACCATGAAAAAAATAAACTGCAGTAAACCTCACTAACTAATCCACTGGTGACGAGGAAAATCTGTTAGACAAAATATATACATTTGTAAGAAAAATATTTAAAGCTTCTATGAAATACAAATATATATAAAGGATAAGCATGCAGAATTCATCTGAAAAAAACCTCTTGGAGACCCTCATGGATAGGACTGAATGGGGTGATTGGTAATCCGCAGGCCCACTGAGACATGGGCGCTTTCTAAGACAGCTTCAAGGCTGTTTCAGTGTCAGCCAGCCTTCTGTATCTATTATTAATTTGCTTCAGCAAACCCTTTACCTTAACCTATTACCTTAAACTTTAGGACAAATTAATGAGGTTTTGCTACAAAAGTAGAAAAAATATTTCAAGATTCCAGCTTCACCCATACCAAAAAAAAAAAGGAAACTTCACTTGAGAGAACTACTGCACAACGTGGAAAAGCAAAATGCTAACATTGCTGAAAGCACAGGCAGAGTGGGAAACACAAAATTTTACAATGAAACAACAGAACTACAACTTAGTAGGAGGCATAAAGTCTCTCCTAAGAGAAGTTTTGAAGGCAGTCACTGCTGAGCCATTGAAACTGCTGAAATTATTAGGTTTCAATATCACACAGCAGCAGCAAGATATATCCACTTCAGGGTTCTGCATGACATGATTACAGTTAAAACTGAGCAAATAAAAACCAAAACCACTGCATTAACCCTGAGCTTCACCATTCTTCTTTCATGTGAGACACAGATACAGACCATCATAATCCAGGAAGATGTGGCTTTCACTACAGTCAAATCTCAGTATCATCTCCCAAATACAAAATTATAAAATAAGTTATTCTAAAGCATTTACATTTAACTTTGGAATGATGGGAGAGGCACAGATAAGTGTAAACAATCAGAGAATCACTCCACTCCATGTCGGGGTCCAAATCCATCCAGGCTTTGCGAGAATATTAGTAGCTGGGTCTGATTCCAAAGGGAGGAGGACAGATGCCTAGATGGTGCTGGACAAAGCACTGGGAGACACTCAAGAGACGACTGCAGAGGTAGGAGGAGGAACTGTCATTAAGAATGGCTTTAAAGCTCCCCCAACAGAGATAAACTATAAATCAGTCTCATTTCATGTTCAGAAAGAACCAAGTCACTGAAATTTGATTTCTTCTAAGTTGTTGCCATTTGCTTGGATGAGATCTTGAAGGTTTCCATTTTTCTCCACCCAGTTTAAGAAACATTGACTAGAAATCTGTGTTAAGAATTTAATAAAGGCTTTTCCCTCCTGTTCCTCTTTATGCCAAGGCAAGAACTGGAAAATTCCAAACAAAATCAGGTTAGTGGTACATAAAGTCCATGAATGATCACTCTATGTGAACATTTAGCATGTGATAAGCATGTGGCGAAGATCTTCTCACGATAGCCCTTTTTTTTAGACAGCCTATACAGTTTCTTTATTTAGTCAGGCTAACTAGAAGCTAAACTTTAAAGACTAATTAAAGTCCAAGGTAAAACTGTTCTTGACAGTAAGAATCATAATCTTACACATGGAACTAAGAAAATGGCCTGCTCACTTAGGAGTGGTGGGCTAAGAAGTTTTTTTCCTTTGTTTTTAAAGACAGTGTCTAGGTATGTATTCTAGGGTGACTTCAAATCTGCAACCTTACTGCCTCAGTCTCCCAAGTGCTGAGATTACAGGTATGTGCCACCAAGCCCAGGCCAAGAATTTTCTAACCAAATAGGCCCAGGATCACAGATACAGGCCACCCTCTGTCTTCCACCATGTTTCACACTGCCACTTTGCAAAACTCACAGTAGAGAACAATCCCTCATTCACCAAAGTATATAGCACAAAACAGAAATACATACCACTTATAGCTTCCTGTGCAAAATATTTGACGTCCATGTCTTCATCCTGACCTAACTTCTGTAGCACCGGCTTCACTTTCCCCTGCAAGGCACTGAAATTCAAAAGTATCATCCATGAAAACTTGGCTGGTGGGACAGAAATTCTTCATGATACAATCTTTTGAGGAATATTGCTTTTGTTTTGGGCTCTATGGTAATTTTAAAATTTAAAATGAAAAATATTTTAAAGTATTTAACAAATATACTATTTAATTTCTAAAGACATTCTTGGCAAGCCGGGCGTGGTAGTGCACGCCTTTAATCCCAGCACTCGGGAGGCAGAGGCAGGTGGATCTCTGTGAGTTCAAGGCCAGCCTGGTCTACATAGGGAGTTCCAGGACAGCTGGAGCTACAGGGAGACGGTCTTAAAAAGACCAAAAAAAAAAAAAAAAAAAAAGATATTCTTGGCAAAATAAGCTTCAGGCAATCATATATGCATACAGAGAACTTAAGTCAGAGTGGACAGTCTTAAAAATGGGGACTCATTTATTTTCTGTGAACAAGCCCAAATTCTAGATAAAGTGAAAAATTACTGGACTTAATTTTAGCTGTGACTCCCCACTATGAAGCGAAAGTTAAAATTCACTTTCAAAACAAGAATAACACTAAAATCTTACTCAGTATCTAGAATTGGTCCAATTTTTTGTAGTGATTTGGCTACATTGAAACGAACATTTGCTACTTGGTCTCCTGCCATTTTCAACACGATGGGCAGCATTTGCTTAGTGGTTATTTCCTGACCACAGGCTTCAGAGAGTGCCTAGAAAAATAAATAAGGTGGTATACTTAAAACACTTTTAAAAAATCCCCAAATCTACTAAAACATTAATATTTTGATGGGAAATTAATTGGGCAGCAGAAAAAGTGTTTCCTGCTTGAACATCTAATGAACATAAGGAAGCAGTCAAAGGATGAAAGACCGATACCAGAATTCACAACTCAATTGCAAACTTTTAAATTACTATTTAGGGGCTGGAGAGATGGCTCAGCGGTTAAGAGCACTGACTGCTCTTATAGAGGACCCCCGTGGCAGCTAACAACCGTTCATAACTCCAGTTCCAAGGGATCCAACGCCCTCTTCTGACTTCTGCAGGCACTGCACCATCTGAATTCACCTACCTACTTACAAGTAGTATACTCATACACAAAAAATAAAAATAAAAATAAAATACTAGTCTAGACTGGTGGCGGTGGCGGCAGCAGCACACACCTTTATTCCCAGCACTCCAGAGACAGAGGAAGGTGGGTCTCTATAAGTTTGAGGCCAGCCTGGTCTACATAGTGAGTTCCAGGCCAGCCAGGGCTACATAATAAGGCCCTGTCTCCAAAAACCAAAACCTAAAAAAGTTTTTAAAAAAGGGATACTATTCTGGGGCTGGTGAAATGGCTCAGTGGTTAAGAGCACTGGCCGCTCTTGAAGACGACCTGAGTTCACTTCCCAGCACTGATATGGTGGCTAACAATTATCCATAACTCCAGTTCCAGGGAAATCCGACACCCTCTTCTGACCTCCATGGGCATTGTACAGCACAGCTGCACTTACATGCAGGCAGTACACTCATACACGTAAAAATAAAATAATAATAAAATATTTTAAAAGTACTATTCTAAATTTTAACACAAATTTAAAAAAAAATCAACATTTTCTCCATTCTAATTATTCAAATTAATCAGTATAAGTATATCTCAAAAAGAAGACAGTTCACTGAGAACTTAGAAATACATCCGGGTTTGGTGGTGCACACCTTTAGTCCCAGCACTCAGGAGGCAGAGGCAGGTGGATCTCTGTGAGTTCAAGGCCAGCCTGGTCTACATAGGGAGTTCCAGGACACCGGGGCTACAGGGAGACCCTACCTCAAAAAGACCAAAAAAAAAAAAAAATACACTATGAATAACTACTTTAATAAGCCCAAGTAACAATAACAGAGATGTTATACTTACATTAATGCAAAATAAAGTGGTCATTCTGTGTAAGTAATTAGGATCATTTGCCATTACTAACACTTTAGGGACAATGGTATTTTGGGCCCACTCTGTACCAAACTTCTGGACTAATTTCATGAGGTTGTTAGTGGCAGCTTCCCGGATGGCATACACTGCAGAAGAGTCAAGCACACATTTCATACTGCTTACTAAGTATGCAGAACCTGCTTTACAATATCACACACAGACCCAAAATAGAACTCTGCAAACTAACCCCCACCTCACACATACTGTAATGATAATCAGCTCAGTCCCACTTCACTGATTTGCTATTACAGTTTTAAAATGTTTATATTCAAGGAAAATGGATGTGCAGAACTCACTATATACATCACTGATGAATTAACAAATACAAGTGTGGGGCTGGAGAGATGGCTCATTGGTTAATAGCACTGGCTGCTCTTGCAGAGGACCCGGGTTCAATTCCCAGCACCCACATGGAGGCTAACAACCATCCATAACTAGTTCCAGGGGATCCAACACCCTCTTCTGACCTCCGAAGGCATTATTGTACCACACAGGTGCACATATATATATACACTCATACACATAAAATAAAAACAATAAATAAAATAACAAGTTAAAAACAAAACAAAATCATTTTAATCCAGAATGCCAGCTTTCACAGTATAGAAGGATCTGCTGGGAGTGCCATTCACACTAACAATATTTACTAGAAATAAACTTTTTCAAATGAAAAAAAGAATTTCTGTCAGGCATGGTAACACACATCTTTAATCCCAGCATGTGGAAGGCAGAAACAGGTGGATCTCCGTGAGTTTGAGGTGAGGTCAGCCTGGCTCCAAGCCAGCCAAGGTTACACAATGAGAACATATCTCAAAAAGAAGGCAACACGCATTTGCGCAGGTACAGTGGGGGGGGGGCTGTTTGGATGGCTCAGCAGTTAAGAGCATTTACTGCTCTTGCAGAGGACCTGGGTTCAGTTCCCAGCACCCACATGGTGACTAACACCTGTCCTTAACTCCAGTTCTAGGGGATCCAGTGCCCTCTTCTGGCCTCCATAGGCATCAAGCATATACATGGTGCACTTACAGGCATACAGGCAAAACATTCATGTGTATAAAATAAAAATATCAAAAAAATTTCTTTGCTATGATTTATCAAATTTAAGGGGTTGGGTTTTTTTTTGTTTTTTTTTGGTGTGTTTTTGAGACAGGGTTTCCCTGTAGCCCCAGATGGCCTGGAACTCACTATGTAGAGCAGGCTGGCCTTGAACTCACAGAGATCCGCCTGCTTCTGCCTCCCTAGTGCTGGGATTAAAGGCTCACGCCACCATGCCCAGCTTAAATTTTATTTTTTAAAAAAGATCATAAAAACAACTTTTGAGAAAAAAGGAAATAAATCTTCACTCATGTAATAACACCAGTAGAAGTAGGCACACATTTACCCTTACAATTATCACAGAGCTTCCACACCCTATTTATACTCTTAGCCATATGATCTCACATGATACAAATATGCTTTTAACAAAACTGGTTACCCTATGATAGAGTGATTACTTAATGGAGAAGAGACAGTTGAAACAGAAAGTAAAAATGTCCAGTTTGTAGTCAGAGAAAGCGAAGGGGAATTTAATCAGCCTTTCTTCAGCAATACACTGTTAAAGCAGAATGTCATCCCTTCAGGATTCCTTCCAAAAGGAAATGAACATCACAGAATATATGCAAAAACCTGGGCTTTCCATTATATCTGTTTTTAACTGGTCTACTCACCATGATCCACAAGCCAGGCCATACATAGAGAATTGAGCTTTTCATCAAAAAACTCCACACCCTATGGATACACAGTATTCCATTAATATACACCTCCAAAGTTTAAGAACAAGTTCTATTTACATTAGACAAAAATTACCTAAAGCTAAAGACATGCTTCTGAATGGTCAAAAAGCCATGTAATACCAGAGAACTTATAAACTATAAAATTCTCTTAAGACCAAAACAAAAAGCACACATGAGACAGCAGAGGCCAGGCTCAGGGAGAACAGGCTGACCAGAAGCCACACACACTGAGGGGAGCAGGAGAAGCATTGTGCAAAGTGTGCCAAGCAGATCCTGACTACATGTAAGATTTAATTACCCAGGAAAATGCCTGGTGACAGTATTCGTAATTTTCATCTTTTGTAACTGACACCAAGCTACTCCCAACTGAAGAAAGCATTTCTGGGACAAGGAGAGAAAACAGCAGAGGGGGAGAAAAGCAGGCAAAGGAGTGCAGAGTACGACGCTCCAGGGTGGAGGGACTGGTCCGTGCACACGGGCTGGGGACAAGCTCCAAGACCTGATTATACAAGACCTCCCACCCAAGATGTCCACATCATGTAGGTGAGTTCTGCAACACACTTTCCTGTGTCTTCCTTCTGAGTTCCTGACCAGTGACAATGTATTTTAAGAGAAGTAACATAAAGGCTCGGTGCTTTAGACAGAATGGCTTTACCCTGCAGATCACTAGGCAAGGTTTTGGTAAACACTTAGACTACAGTAATAACTCTCAAAGATTTTTTTTTATTATTTATTATTTTTATTTTATGTGTATGAGTGTATTGCCTGCATGTGTGAGTGCACCCATGCTGTGCAATGCCACAGAGGTCAGAAGAGGGCTTCAGATTTCCCTGGAACTGGAGTTAAGGACGGTTCAGAGCCACCATGTGGGTGCTGGGAATCAAACCCAGGTCCTCTGCAAGACCAGTCAGTGCTCTTAACTGCTGAGCCATTTCTCCAACGCCCAAGATTGCTTTTTTTTAATTTCAGGTTGAAGACTTTCCTTCAATCTTAATAGACTCATGTCCATATTCTTTTGTGGTTTAACTTTATATTTAAACATCATGGTCTATAATTCAGGCTAGTCTTAAAAGAGTTGTATAAATTGACTAATTTTTTAAAATTACACATAAAGGAAAATTAATAATATATGTACATATATATGTAGATAAAACTGTAGGGGCTGGAGAGATGGCTTGGCAGTTAAGAGCACTTGCTGCTCTTGTAGAGGACCTGGATTCAGTTCCCAGCACCCACATGGTGGCTAACAACTGTCCCTAAATCCAGTTCCAGAGAATCCAACACCTTCTTCTGACCTCCACAGGCACTGCACATATGGCACTTACATACAGGCAGATAAAATACTCATACAAAATTTTTTTTTAATTTTAATTTTTGAAGATAAAATTGTAAAACAATGTCTATGGCTGATGCATGTCAATCCAGCCAGAAAGGTACAGGCAGCTCAGGTACCAACCATCTTCTTTCCATACTGCTTTGTACAGCTGGTAGCCTTGGAGACTTTCAGGTCTAGGTAGAGTCAAGGTTCAAAGAAAAGGTACTGAAATCCGCCCAACTCCCAGACAGCTGTTTTGGTTCAGCAAACCCACTAGGCACTGGTACTTTCTACTTTGCAGAGGGACACAGAAGACCCCTGAAGAACAAAACGTGACCCTCAGCATTTGGAAGTGACAGTGGAAAAAAAGTGACAAAATGACTTCACCTGACCCTTTTAGATATGCTACTATCTTTGACATCCATTTTGAAGAATACAGCACTGTAAATATGAGAAAATACATAAAGTAAAGCCATGGCCAGCGCAAGACACAGGTTCATAAACAAAACACACCCAAATTAGCAATATAAATTCAGTGGTCCAAGAAAAGAAAATGTGAACACATATGTTGTGATCTAAAAGGAAAGGAAACAGGCCTTGAGGGTCTATTATAAATTGTAGTCATGTCAGCAGTAAACTGACACATGTGCTTTCTCAGAAAACTCAGGTCTTCATTCACCCAATAATCAAGAAATGCCAAGTGTCTAATTAGTAACAGTGCTCTGATAGCCACTAGCATTAAATACTAATAGTCCCTGCCCTAAAAGCAATCACCTGTCTTCCAAATACATCTTAACAGTGGCAATGCACTACTGTTAAGGGCTGTTAACAGGGGTGAGGACTATCAAACTTTGTATTGTCTAGGAAACCCACTGAGAAAGAAAGGATGTAGCTTATAGCCCAGCTTTGAAATTTTAATTTCAGTCATAACTAAGAAAGAAATAATAAAACCCAAAGAATAAGACACTATGATAATATGGGCTTTATCAAAAATAATGATTTCTGCATGGCAGAAGCTCAACTCCCTTCAGTCAGAATGTAGGACGAACGGTTCCCAGGTTCATTTTGTTTAGGACAAAGACAAACAAAAAAGCTGCTTTGAACAGAAAGCAAAACTGACTTACCTCAGAACCATATTATTTTCCATTGATTAGTCCTTATATCACATGGGTTTTAAACACTACAAACTTAATAATATATATACCAAGGAGGCGATTCATTCCTCTAGGGCTTGGTTTTGAGATGGCATCAAGGCAAAATGTGTTGTTAGAAGGTAATGCACTACAACAGAACCATCCTGTAGGCCTCAGCATTTACACCTCAGTTGCTCTAAAGGAACAAAGTCACAGACTATGTGGGCCTCCTACTCACCATGCTAACTTGGCACTATCTGACACCATCCGTTACCAGAGCACGAATACTCACCAGCTGGCCCGCCAGCAGTGGCATATACTCAATGATGGCCAGGCGGACTCTCCACTTGGCATCTTCAGCCAGTTCCACTATGGCAGGAAGGAGAGACTGTGAGAGCTGACGGATTCCAATCACTTCATTTACACAATCCAAATTAGAGATGATATTCAAACGGACTTCAGGACACTATAAACACACAACCCCCAGACCAGGTGAAAATTAACTCCTCTTTCTGCCCAATATTCTCCTGTCTTGATAAAATGAAAAGTGCCAAGTAAAAGTTAAAATTAGAAAATGCTGACTCAGCAGTTTTCTTTAAGGCACAATCCCATAACCGAGAGTATTTGAGAAGAACATACTGGACACAATGGCCTTTTAAAAAAATATGGGACATGAAGTTGGGAGGAATAGGGAGATAGGGGTAGATCTGAGAGGAAATGAGGAAGAGGGTAGAATATGATCAAAATACATTGCATGACAGTCTCAAAGAATTAATAAAAATATTACTTAAAAGAAAAAAGTACTCACACAGGGATTTTGGTTTTTTATTATTTTTATTTTATGTGTATACATGAATTGCCTGCAGGTACGTAACTGCACCCATGTCGTGCAGTGCCCACAGAGAACAGAAGAGACTGTCGGATCCCCTGAAACTGGAGTTATGGACAGTTGTTAGCTGCCATGTGGGTGCTGGGATTCGAACCCAGGTCTTCTGCGAGAACCGCTGAGCCATCTCTCCAGCCCCCCCCCTTTTTTATATGTGTGTATTGCCTGCATGTGTGTAAGTGTACCCATGTTATACAATGCCCAAGGAAGTCAGAAGAGGGCACCGAATTCCCCTGGAACTGGATTTATGGATGGTTGTTAGCTACCATATGGGTGCTGGGAATTGAACCTGGGTCCTCTGTAAGAGCAATCAGTGCTCTTAACCACTAAGCCATCTCTCTAGCCCAACTCAGATTTTAAAAAAAAGAAAAAAAAAGACTAGAGCTGAAAGTGTTCTTTGTGGTAAAAGCAGGTGCCTGACCTCAACAGAGCCTGCATTCAACACCCAGCACTGACAAGGAACACAGATGGAGTGAAACAGTAAGTGCTGACTATCCAGATAATTCAAGACATACAAATGTGCAACCAGAGCGTCAGCAGAAAGCCACTGAGATTTCATTACTTTATATGCTAATTTAAAAAATAATACATCAAAGCAGGTGAGATGGCTCAGCAAGGAAACGCACTTGTGCACAACACCAGCAACCTGAGTTCAATCACCAGAACCCATGTGAAGGTACACAGAGAAGTGACTCCACTAGGATGGCCTCTGTTCTGTATGTACACATGTGCACAAACACACACATCATGTATATTCACACAATAATAACTAAAAGTGTATTTTTTTTTATTTTTATTTTTTTGGTCTTTTTGAGATAGGGTCTCCCTGTAGCCCCAGCTATCCTGGCTGGCCTTGAACTCATAGAGATCCGCCTGCCTCTGCCTCCCGAGTGCTGGGATTAAAGGTATGAGCCACCATGCCCAGCTAAAAGTGTATTTTAATTAATCAATAAACAAACTATGAAATGGTAAAAACACAGGCCCTAGAATTAAATTTCATGTACTCAAATCTGAGCTCTGCCACAACTGGAAGGCCTCAGACATGTTCATTTTATCTCCTGTGTCTCTTTCCTCATCTGAAAACAGGGAATAATGTAAGACCTACCTCATAAAACTGCCAGGAAGATGATACTCAGCAGCACATACAACATACTCAGGACCATGCCCTGGCACATATTAATTACTAAATGTTCATTTTCTTATTATTTGTGTATGTCTGTTTGTGTCCCTGTGTGTACATATGCACAAATGCAAAAAAGCCAGAAGGCGGCATCAGAATCCCTGGACACAGAGTTACAGATGGTTGTGAGCTGCTGTGCAGGTGTTGGGAACCAAGCTCCAGTCCTCCCCAAGAGCAGCAAGCACTCTAACCACTGAGCCATCACTTGAGCCCCTAAATATCTGATGTTATATTTAATCTTAAATAAGATACTTTTAAGCAAATCTCTATTAGCTTTAAAAATAGGGAATTGGGGGCTGGTGAGATGGCTTACCCATTGACAACCTAAGTTCAATCCCTAGGATCCATATTTGAAGACAAGGACCAATTCTTACAAGTTGTCCTCTGACCTCAACACACAGCTCACACAAACACACACACACACACACACACACTAAATGCAATTTAAAAAATTGTTTAAATAAAAATAAGGAAATGACTGTAGTACAAAATTAAGCAGAGGGGGCTGGAGAGATGGCTCAGCGGTTAAGAGCACTGGTTGTTCTTGCAGACGACCCGGGGTTCGAATCCCAGCACCCACATGGCAGCTAACAACTGTCCATAACTCCAGTCCCAGGGGATCCGACAGCCTCTTCTGACCTCCGCAGGCACTGCACGACACAGGTGCACTTACCTACATGCAGGCAATACACGCATACACATAAAATAAAAATAGTAAATTTTTTAAAAAATTAAGCAGAGAAGTTAGCTAGACATTTTTTAAAAGATTTCATGTATTTTATTTTACACGTGTATGTGTGTACCTGAATGTATATGCACCACATGCATGCAGGTGCCTGGAGAAGTCAGAAGAGGGCATCATCAGACCCCCTGGAACCAGAATTACAGGCAGTTGTAAACTGTACAGTGTGGGTGCTGGGAAGCAAACTCAGGTCCTTCACAAGTCAACAAGTGCTCTTAACCACTGAGCCATCTTTTCATCCCCAGGTTTTCTTATTAAAGTCCCTGTGGCCATTTTGGGGGAAACCTGTAACCCTATACTCAAAAGTAGAAGTAGTGTCAAACATTTTTTAAAAATATTTTATTTATTATTTTTATGTGTATGCATGTACTGCCTACATGTACGGAAGTGCACCCATGTTATGCATTGTCTGGGGAGGACAGAAGAGGGCATCAGATCCCCTGGAACTGGAGTTACAAACAGTTGTTAGCTGTCATACAGGTGCTAGGAATCGAACCTGGGTCCTCTGCAAGAGCAGCCAGTGCTCTTAACCACTGAGCCAACTCTCCAGCAACATTTAAAACAAATGTCAAACATTTAAAATAAGTTTTTCCCATTTCCACATTTGGGGACCTATTTTAATAAAAACTCCATACAAAAATCACATCAAGTCAATGACATGAACGGCAAAAGAATTTCTAGCCAGACTCACCTCATCCTTTAACTGAGCTAAAAAGAGAGGCAGAAGATGTTCGATGGTATTCTCTTTGCCCAAAATCGTAGATAATCCCATAATTACAGAAGCTAGAGCTGATTTGACATGTTGATTGGTATCAGATACTAATTCCTAAAATAAAATCAAAATTAAAAGCCTTTCTTATTTGTAAGACAACACAAAGCTCCACACCATCTCCCAAGGAGCTTGAAGGCAGCACTACACCAACAGACTAGCTAACAATGTTTCCTCTGGCCACGTTAACAACAGAATAAGCACCTAAAAACATTTTACAACTACAGTAAGCACAAATAAGCAATAATGTCACAAATTTAATATATTTGAGTCATTTATCCTTTTCCCTATTTAAACTCTAAGAGCTTAAAAAAATTACCTTTGCATAAGCAGAATAAAACAAAATAAACTACAATTACATATACCTTTATATAGGGCAGAATTTGATTCACAATTATGGCTTCTCTACCTTCAGTGGGCAAGTTTTCACAAAGTTCTAAAAGACAGAAATGGAAAATGCAATGTTTTTGTTGAGTCAAACAAAGAACTAACCAGATCTTCTCAGAGTTCCAAGTGAAATCAAACCATACATTAAAACAAATAAACTCTTATTAAGTAAAATGACTCTTATTCTAATGGAACAATCTAACTTCATGCCTTTGTATGCCAAACTATCCAAACTGAAAAGGCATTTTTCAAATAAAAACAAGAGAGAATGGGTGATTTAAAATCCAGAAGAGTCGCTTACTATGACTGTGAGATTTCCACACTGGGACCATCTCTATTTGAAACACTGTTGAAGATAAAACATGCCAAATCTACTACTATAAGGAACACATCAAAATGAAGAGCAAATGTTGAAACAGGGTGAACTTTAACCTTTGACTTTGTGGGCAGCAGCTGCTCGGACTTCAGCTTCACAATCTTTAAGAAGGCTCTGAAAGGCGGGGATGAGATCATTCAGAGTGATTTTAGGACCCACAGCTTTCTGGAGCTGGAAAACAATTTTCACAGGTTTAATGGATGCTAACAAAATAATAAAAAACAAAATAGTAAAATCTTCAAATACATAGTGTTACACAACACTTATTCAAGAGAATGTGTTAACTGTGTTCAACAGAAAAACCTGAGGCTACTGCTTCTAAGGTTTTTTATTATTTCAAAATGTCAATGCGGAGTCAGGCATGGTGGCACACTCCTTCAATCCCAACACTGGGGAAGCTGAGGCAGGTGGATCTCTGTGAGATAGAGGCCAGCCTAGTCTACACAACAAGTTTTATTTCGGGCCAGCCATGGCTACAGGAGACCCTGTCTCCAAAAGCCAAAAACGAACAAAACAAGCAAACAAAAAACAAAATGCCAATGCAATAATTTTACCTCTGAAAATTTGTCAGCTACCATATATCGAACTCGCCAAGATTTATCTTCTGCTGCTTGCCGAAGTATAGGTATTACCAAGGCCTCAAGGTCATCCTGAGACAATAATTGAGCGATACTGACACAAGCCTCCACAGCTAGCAGGCGCACAGAATCCTAAAGGAAAAGCACTGGTAAATCTGTGAGACCAACAGGGTGCTGCACACAGGGTGAGGCTCAAGAAAAGGGGGAAAATCATATACAGCTTTATGTTTTTGTCTTCAAACGGCTGAATAACCAATCTCCCTTCACCTAGAACAGCATGTATGTGAAAGCCATGAAAATAAAAATGACTGTTCTAGGAAGAACAGCAAATTAACTCGCTGAGCCATCCCACTAGCTTCAAACTATAAGATTAAGTAAACTTTAAAATTCTAATGCTGCACTCAAAGCCTTGCTATGATAGGTAGCTGAAGGATTAAAAAAAAAAATGATTATACTTGTGTAAGGTATTTAGAGTAGATTTGAAGAATTTAAAAAGGACAGGAAAATCACTGTGAATGTTCAATTTCCAACTACTCACTGGGCAATTGCAGGAACTGGATGAAAAGTTAGTAACCAAGATAAGGTTAAACTGAACTGAAGATCAAAGATGGGCCAACTTTGAGATAGCCACGTGTAGTACGACATCAGAAAAAAGTAGAAAGGCATGGGGTTAATGAACTCAGTTTTCCAGGCATAAAACTGCCGAATAGGACAGCAACATGCCTTCTCCAAGAAGAAATACAAAATTAAAACTCAAATGAACATGAGTTCAGATTGCAGACTTGAGAAATTGCAGGTAAACAAAGAGAAACTGAAAGGATGGAGTCCTATGGGAACCCAGGAGCAGGACAAAAAATTAATGTCTACATATATACAATTTATAGTATGCACATACACAAAATCATGACAGTGCCTCCAACTTTCCAAAATTTTAAAAACTGCACATCAGCAATAACTGATTACATCTGCCTAAGACACGCTCACTCTTCTGTACCCAAATAGACAGGCTCTTGATAATAGCTACAAGATTCTTTTGCAATCTGAAAATACTAATCAAGGAGCTTCTGTCATCTACTCAAGTATATGCTGATGAATGCTTAACTGATTCTCTTCCACAACTCCCCTACACCTGTTCTTCCTCCTAGAACCTTCTGCCTTAGCAATGACACCAACATCCACCCAGGTGTTCAAGCCAAAAATCTAAACTTTGACTTCTCTTCCTCCCATCCAATGCAACAATATTAAGTATTTTTGACTCTACCTCTAAACCGCACAAGAAGATCCCCCCACCCTACTATCATCTAGGTCCTGGCTCACTTGTCTGTTTTTTGTGAGTCTCCTGCCACCCTTCCATTTCTATTCTTAGCACCCCTCCAATGTAGTTTCCACCCAGTAGCCAGAATGACCTTTTAAAAATGTCTGTTATGGGGCTGGAAAGATGGCTCAGAAGTTAAAAGGACCTTAACCTTAAGGGGACCTCTGCTCTTGCAGAGGACCCAGGTTCAATTCCCAGCACCTACATGGCAGCTAACAACCATCTGTAACTCCAGTTCCAGAGGACCCAACACCATCTTCTGACCTCCACTAGGCACTGCACAACACAAGTGCACATATATACATTCAGGCAATATACTCACACATAAAGTAGAAATAATAAAACAATAAAAGAAAAAGAGACATGAACCTTTAAGAAACAAACCTTTAAAACAAAGTAAGAAATAAAAATGTAAGTTACATAATGTCACACCTCTGCTCAAAATCTAGGTAGTCTCACTGCATCTAAAAAAGAAAATTCAGGGGCAGGAAAGATGACTCAGCAGTTAGGAGCAAAGGCTCCAACACCTCTGGCCTCTGCAGGCACCTGCACTTGTGCACAAACTAACACACAGACATACATATACTGACTTCATTGTTTTAATTTAAATTTTATTATATATATATGTGTGTGTGTGTGTGTGTGTGTGTGTTTTACCTACACATATGCATGTGTACCACATATAGGTCTGGCATCCACAGAGGCCAGGAGAGTATCAGATCCCCTGGAACTGGGAGTTACTGGGGGTGGGTATTAGCTGAGGGGAGTGCTGGAAACCAAATCTTGGTCCCCTACAAGAGCAGCCAATGCTCTTTACCCCTCAGCCATCTCTCTAACCCCCTAATTTTTTAAAAAAAGAATTTAATCTTTAAAATTCAGAATGAGCCAGGAGTGGTGGCTCATGCCTTTAATCCCAGCACTCGGGAGGCAGAGCAGGCAGATCTTTATGAATTCAAGGCCAGCCTGGTCTACACAGTGAGTTCCAGGACAGCTAGGGCTACAGGGAGACCCTGTCTCAAAAAGACCAAAAGAAAAAAAAATTCAGAATATCGGGCATGGCAACATATACCTTTAATCCCAGCCCTCAGGAGGCAGAGGCAGGTAGATCTCTGTGAGATTGAAGCCACCCTGGTCCACACTGTGGCTTCCAGGTGGGCTGGGACTAGGGAGACCCTGTCAAAAAACAAAACAAAATAAAACAAAACAAAAAAAAAACAGAAAGGAAGGAAAGGGAGAAGGGGAGAGAAGAAAGGGAAGGGGAAGGGAGGAGGAGAGAGGAGGGAAGTAGAAGGGGAAGAGAAAAAAGAAAAAGACCCCAAATGCAAATGCTCCTCCAGGTTAAAGCTGGACCTGCCCATTTCTTTCTCTCCACGTTCACTGCAGCAGAGTCTCTTACAATCACTAGTTCCAACTTGAGCTTTTATTTTTCATGTCCTATTAATAGCCCTGGAATCTCTTTAGCCTACACTCTTCCACTCCAGGTGAGGGCAATTAGCACCTTCCTTCAGGTTCTGTTACTTCTTCAGAGTTCCAGTTGACTTATCATGTCATTCTCCTATTACTTTACCCTTCTTTATTTTCGTGACACACCTAACACTTAAGATTGCTTTTCTCAATTAAAATGTAAGTTCTGCAAGGCCTTTTCTCTATTAAAATGTAAGTGGCAGAGGCAGGCAGATCTCTGTGAGATGGAGGCCAATCTGGTCTACCTAGCGAGTTTCCAGGCCAGCTGGGGCTACAGGGAGACCCTGTCTCAAAAAGACTAAAATCTAAGTTTCACGAGAGCAGGGTGCCTGTATGCCGTGTTTCACCTTGTATTTCAACCACGCCTTGTGTATAGTGGGTACTCAACAAATGCTTTTGCAATGAGTAAGCCATGAGCAGATTTTCTACCAGTAATCAGAGTGAACATATGTATACATATTTCATAACAAGGCATTTAATACTGTTCTGAGTACCAAATGCTGCTAACCTATTCCCACTTAGATGTACGTGAGTTTCCATGTCCATCAGTTTATAATTCTCTGTGACTACTTTAGCACCACAAGAGCAGAGATGAGCAATTACAACAGACATCTGACCTTTAAAGCCTAAAAGAATTACTGTCTTTTTTTTTGGCTTTTTGAGACAGGGTCTCCCTGTAGCCCCAGCTGTCCTGGAACTCACTATGTAGACCAGGCTGGCCTTGAACTCACAGAGATCCGCCTGCCTCTGCTGGGATTAAAGGCGTGCACCACCACGCCCGGCCCATGAGAATTACTGTCTTAACTTGCTGCTCTTCACATCTGCAACCCTACTATAGATGAAACTACTATTCTGTGAGAAATATAGGAGACAAAAGAAAATGTTAAATCATGCTATGGGAAGTATAATCAACTAAATTCCAAATAGGGGCTCTAAACTTGCACTGCTCCAATATGGAAAACACCATCCACATGTGGAGTCCGCGTGAAATGTAGTTATTGCCACATGTTCAAATTACAAGATTTAGAAACTAAATTCAAATCCAAACTACAACCACCAACTATATATAGCCTTGAACAAGCTAGATAAACTTTCTGTGCCTCCACTTCTAAATATGTAAAAGTGAAGTATCTGTCTCATGGGGCTGTTAGGAGAACCCAGTTACTTCGTACATGCAACCACTTAAAACAGGCTGAGAAATACAGTCAGTCTTCCATGTCAATGGGTTCCACATCAATGGATTCAAACAACCTTGATTAAATATAGTTGGGAAAAAATTTTATTTGTACTAAACAAAATGCAGGCTTTTTTAGTGTCACTGTTCCCTAAACAATAAAGTTTATTATTTACACTACAATTTTATTATTTATTTATTTATTTAGTGTGTGGAGGGGTACATGTACACCACAGCACGCATGTGGCTATCAGAACGTAACTTCTGGGAGTCGATGGTCCCTCTCTGCCTTGCTGAGGCAGGGTCTTTCTTGTTTCTGCTGCTGCACTATGTACTCCAGGCTACCTGGCCCATCAATTTTAGGGTAATTCTGTCTGCTATCTCACTGTAAGAGAACTGGGATTACAGATGCCGTCACCACATACAGCTTTTTACATGAGTTCTGGAGACTGAACTTGAGTCAGGTTTGCAAGGCTAGTAGCACTTTTACCTGCTGTACCATCTCCCCAGTTCTCATATGCACTACATTTGACATTGCAAGTAATCTAGAGATGATTCCAAGTGCACAGGAGGACGTGTATGAAGAGAACAAACACTGCATCATTTTACATGTGGGAACTGAGCATCTATAGAGACCAAGCGTCCTCAGATGATCCAGGAACCACTGCGACCTCTTTGTACAGAAGACCAACTGTAGTAAGTGGTTTAGGTGTTCCCAATTTTTAATATTTCTATACCAAAGAAACTTAGATTCTTGGCTTTAAGATTACTATTATGTGGGGGCTGGAGAGATGGCTCAGCAGTTAAGAGCACTGGACTACTCTTGCAGAAGACCCAGGTTCGCTTCCCAACACCCACTTGGTGGCTACGAACCGTCCTTAACTCCAGTTCCAGGGGACTCTGAAGCCCTTTTCTGACCTCCACAGCATTGCACAACACGGGTGCACTCACACATATGCAGGCAATACACTCATACACATAAAATAAAAATAATAAATAAGGGGTTAGGGATTTAGCTCAGTGATAGAGTGCTTCCCTAGCAAGTACAAGACCCTGGGTTCAGTCCTCAGCTCTGGGGAAAAAAAAAAAAAAAGACAAAATAACAAAAATAATAAATAAAATATTAAAAAAAGAAGATTGCTATTAGGTGACATAATCCTGCAGACTAATGCAGAAATCTGTAGCTTTCCCAATACAGTCAATGCTTATTTATCCAAGAGTCAGAACTGCAGGAAGCACTTCCTCTCCAGATCACAATACAACCTACAATTCTGAAAGACATACAATGTCTTGCTGCAGCCTTGAACTTCTTAATTATAGCTCCCAATTCATCTCTGACTCCTCCTTTTAACAGCTACTAGTGTAAGAGAGGAAAGTGGGCCTGGTTAAGAAACAGAGTATTACAATAAAGCTCACCAGGCTGAAGTATTAATTTTATTAAAAAGATCCTACATGAGCCGGGCTTGGTGGTGCATGCCTGTAGTTCTAGCACTTGGGAGGCAGAGGCAGGCAGACGGCTCTCTGTGCTTTCAAGGCCAGCCTGGTTTACATAGTGAGTCCCAGGACAGCTGGGGCTACAGAGAGACCCTGTCTCAAAAAGACCAAAAAAAAAAAATCCTACATGAGCCAAAACCCCAAAGAAATGTTTTGAGATTTTTAATTATTAAAAAAGAGCAAATTCATGTCTTAAATACTAAAGACCTGATTTACCTGTTCATCTGAAGCTAGATTAGTGAACAATGGAACAATTTCAGTTTTCACACTGTCTAGTTCCAACACTTTTGCAAATTCACCCAATTTGGAAGCAGCAGCCCGTCGTACCATTGGTGTATCATCTGAGCACAGGGAACGGAAGTGCCTGCAACATAAAGCAAAGAAGGTATTTCCTGTCAGATACTATTAGTTAGACATGTCCCAACACCAATAGACACCATTTTAGAGCCTTTCTCTTACATTAGTGATTAGGTTTCTACTCATAGAACTAACAAAAAAGAGCTAGGAAGGGGCTGGAGAGATGGTTCAGCAGTTAAGAGCACTGACCGCTCTTACAGAGGACCCGAGTTCGAATCCCAGCACCCACATGGCAGCTGCGAGCTGTCTTTAACTCCAGTTCCAGGGGAATCCGATGCCCTCTTCTGACCTCCGCAGCATTGCACGACATGGGTGCATTCACATACATGCAGGCAATGCACTCATACACATTAAATAAAAATAAAATATTGAGCCGGGCGTGGTGACACACGCCTTTAAACCCAGCACTCAGGAGGCAGAGGCAGGCGGATCTCTGTGAGTTCAAGGCCAGCCTGGTCTACATAGTGAGTTCCAGGACAGCTGGGGCTACGGGGAGACCCTGTCTCAAAAAGACCAAAAAATAAAAAAAATAAAATAAAAAAATAAAATATTTAAAAAAAAAAAAAAAAGAGCTGGGAAGACAGCTGAGTCAGTAAAGTGCTTATGTGAAGATCTGAGTTCATGTAAAAAGCCAAGCCTGTAATACCATAGGTGGCAAGATGGGAGGCAAAGAAAGGTGGATCCCTGAAAGCTCGCACCAGGCTTTGTGGCAAACTTCCAGGCCAATGAGAGACCTGTCTCAAGTAAAAGATGGAAGGTACCTGAGGAGGTATCAATACCTTCAGAGGGTGTCATCACACACACACACACACAGCATGCAAGTGAGCACCCACTCATGCATGAGAATGGCATATGCACACACCCACAGCATCTAAGTGTGCACACATGCATGCTCACGCACACACATACAAAAAATAACAAAAATAAAACACCAATATATTCAAATGATCACTTAAAAATTCTGCTCTCCTAGTATGGATAGGTAATAAGAGTACTGTGTAAACTCCACTGTGAGTCCTCAGTCCCCAAATACTAAAAGATACTGTATCTTACTGTCTAATTTCTGCTTTGACAGCATTTGAAGCCCTGGGATAACAAACGCTGAACAGACCACATGCAGATGTGCGAGAGGTGAACCAATCCCCACTCGCCAGGCGTTTCACCAGAGGTACAAAGTGAGCTTCTAGAGCGACAGGAGTATGCTCCTGGGAGATCTGCCTCAGGGACTCCACCGCCTTATCTCGAACAACAGTCTCTTCCACAGTCGCCAGGCTTTCCAAGGGAGGCTGGATAGATCACAAGGAAAACCAGAAAAGACAACTTATTGACTCAGGTTAGACACAGATTGTCACCTTAAATGTGACTGAGGGGAAGTGGTACATGTCACCAGAATGTTAGCTATATCACACCAAATGGTTACTTTCGGTTCACACTGTGATAGCATATGGTGTGGCCAACCTGAAGACACGACTTCTGTAGAAAAGCCAAGATTGCATGTCCCAGATGGCAATTCCCAGATGGTGTCTACAAATGACACAGTGGAAGAGATTTGACATAATATTAGTATTATTGAGGAGCTGAATCACTAAGTCTAAATGAAACATAGCCAAATTCAGACAGGAATATGTGTGTTTCCTTAAAAACAAGTGTGAAAATATGACCAACTTTGGGCACCACAATTGCATGACGACATCTTGTTAGGTCACTGAGTCCACAGCTCTATCAGCACTGCCCCATCCTTCCTGGGAGCGCGAGCCATCCTGTCCATCAGCGCTCACCAGTATCAATTTATCCAACCATTAAAAAGCTGAGTAGAAAACCAATTTTTTCCCAAAATACACTCAGAATGTTTCCATAAACCAAAGAGTGAGTGTTTCAGACAGAACAATCAAAAACCAAATACAGAAATGGCAGGCAATCTTGCAGTTTTAGAAATAGAAAAGATCTAAGAGCTTCATTGTCTGCACTAACATCAATAACTGAAAATGACACAGCCTGGTGAAAAGTGGAAGTAGGCTGGTTCTCTGAACCCCTCTGCCTCTCTGCGTTTGCACTTGGTCCAAGTACATTCAGGATAAGCCACACTGTACAGATTAGAACACAAAACTCTATAGAACTGACCAAGACTGAAAAAGAAGGGTGATGGATCGAGAAAGAAGTGTGCTTGCCTATCATGTTCCCAAATGATCTCATACAAAAAGGGAGCCAGGGCTCAGCCTCCCTAGAGGCTCTGTCAGAAGTCCATCGCAAACACATTGCTTCTTGTCTAAGTCTCTCAAGATCTGTGTACTGCCTGCTGTAACATATTCTATCACTACTATAAGATAAGGCAAACCCCAGAGAATGGCTTGTGGGTTGTCTTCATTTCAACTCTGCCCATTTCTCAATGTTCTTTGCTTAAGGGACCCTGATGACCACTTAGCCCCAATTCTCTATGCTCTACCAAGATTTTTAAATTTTTTAAAAAAATTATTTTATGTATATGAGTGTTTTTCCTTCATGTATGTAACTGCACCACATACATATAGGTATGTATGGCTTCTGGAAGCCAGAAGAGGGCTCGGATCCCCCTGGAACTGGAGTTACACATATAGTTAGCTGCCATGTGAATGCTCAGAACAGAACCAAGGTCCTCTGCAATAGCAGTCAGTGCTCTTAACCACTGTACCATCTTTCCAGCGCTCACTATAGCAGTCTAAGCTTATAAAACTCATTCTTTCAGTGTTGTATTGTAGCACTGATAAAGAAGAAAATACACACACACAAGATTCCTTGCTCTAGAGGAGTCTACAATCTAATGGAAGACAGTAATCGATCAATTAGACGGTGACCAGTACTCTGTAGAGAAATAGAACAGGTCAAGTGGGTAGTGAGGGCAGACCTCTCTGACACAGAAAAAAAGTTCTCTGATTTACAAGGAGTCAGCCACAGATCGCTCTAAGTAGCATCTCACTAGAGATGTACCTACAGCAAAAGACATAAGGCATTAAGATGGTTGGTGCATAAGGAAGAGAAAGATCAATCTGTGTGGAACAAAATTATCAAGAAGAACATGGCATGTGTTATATTAGCAAGTTTTTCTCTGCCGTAAGTCAAAGCAACTAACAGAAAAGGTTAAAGGAGTTATTCTGGTTCCGTTTCAAAGGTTCAGTCCATGGCTGCTTGGCTTAATGAGCCCCAACACAACATATGGCAGAAGCACTTCCTTGCCTTACTGCAGAGAGGCAGAGAGGCGGGGTAAGCCAGAGACAAGACACCCTCACAAAGCTGCCCCCAGAGACCCGCTTCCTACAGCTCCTAAAGTTTCCAGAAACTCTCAAAATAATGTCATTAGCAGATCAAGAACTTAACTAAAAATGAGCCTAAAAGGGGCAGTTCATTCAAATCATGAAATGTGACAGGCTTCCAGGGGCAGGTCACAGAACAGTTTTGTAAGCTAAGTTGTAGAGTCTGGATTTTCTAGGAACCATGGAAGGAAGTGATCCATTTACTAAGTGAAGAGTAAACTATAAAGATGCGCTAGATAGCTTGAGTTGTCAACTTGAAGAACTGGGAAGAGGCTTTGCATTGGCTTTGTGGGCATGTCTGTGAAGCATTTTCTAGATTGCTGAGTGATGTGGGAGGGTGCAGTCCACTGTGGGTGGTGCCATCCCTGAGCAGGTGGTCCTGGGTTGTATACGCAAACAGGCTGAGCACAGGCCAGGAGGCAGCACTCCTCCACAGTCCCTTCTCCAGCTCCTACCTCCGGGTTCCTGCCTTGAGTTTCTGCCTTGACTTCCTGCCCTAACCTCCCTCAATGTTGGACTGTGACCTGGGAATTCTAAGATGAAATGAAACTCTTTCCTCCTCAAGTTGTTTTTGGTCAGAGTGTTTTAGCACTGCAATAGAAAGTAACTAGGTGCCAGGGATAGGATGGCAACTAGAGGGGCTCCCCTCAATGTCCAGGTGAGTTCTAGCCTGATAAACTCATCCTAAGTTGAAAATGCCCTAAGTCAAAAACATATTCATTCACCTGACCAATCAATACAGTTTCATCATACAGTACACTGCAGAGCATTGGTAATTTACCCAAGTAATCACATGGCTGAGCATTGCAGCTTGCTACCAATGCTGGGCAGCATGTGAGAGTAACGTATTGAATACTGCCAGCCCAGAAAAGAGCAAAATTCAAAATCTAAAAGTATAATTGTTACTGAATGCACTATCATAAAAGCCAAAAAAAATCCTAAATCAAACCATCATTAACTGAGAACATCTGTAGTTAGGAAACTACTACAGAAACCCAGAGCAAAGACTGGGGTGATTTAGGGTTAGGGTAGCAGTGATAGGGGTGGAAGAAAGAAGACTGATTTGGAATAGATGCAGAGCCTACAAGAGTTACTACTAATGGATTAGATGTGAAGGAGCAACAAAGGATTGTAGAATACCTTCTAGTGCTGGGGATGCAGCTCAGTGACAGAATACTTACCTAGCATGCACAAGGCTGAGTTCAATCCCTAGACTACTAGATTTTGGTTGGACACCTGGATAGAAGGTGATACAACTTAATAAGAGGTGTATTTTAAGGAAAAATTCATAAAGATCAAAAGCAAGTTATACAAAGACAAAATATTGCTGTATGAGAATTAAAACTTTCAATTTCATAGGGAGAAAAAAAAGAGACAAAAATTACCAGGTTAGCCAGGCACAGCAGCTCATGCCTTTAATCCCAGCACTCGGAGGCTGAGGCAGGCAGATCTCTGTGAGATGGAGGCCAGCCTATCCACATAGAGAGCTCCAGGTCAGCTGGGGTTATAGGGAGACTGTCTCTCAAAAACAAAAACAAACAAAAAATAATAAATAACCAAGTCCCAATCAGACATAGGGCACACTGATTATAATCTCAGCACTCAGGAGGCTGGAGCAAGAGGATCTTAAGTTTGAGGTCAGCTTGAACTACATAGCCAAGATCTTTTGCCTCAAAAAAATACCAAGTTCTTTTCCTCCCCATTTATAAACTAACAAGTCTTCAGGGGCAGAAAGAAGCTCTTGTATCCAGTTGATAAAAGTTGAGAGTTGAAGCCAGGTGTGGTGGCGCACCCCTTTAATCCCAGCACTTGGGAGGCAAAAGCAGGCAGATCTTTGTGAGTTTGAAGCTCGAAGCCAGCCTGGTCTACATAGTGAGTTCTAGGACAGCTGGGGCTACAAGGAGACCCTGTCTCAAAAAGACAAAAAAAAAAGTTGTGAGTTGAGGTCAAAGTTCCTACATTATTTGCTTACTCAATATCTAACATTATTATCTGCCCATTAAAAGATGTGCATACAAAATGCTGTGTGACCATCACTAGATAGTATACCATTTATCCTACAAAAGCTATAGGAGGGTAGGCAGTACATAAGTACTCACCAGCAGACAGTGGGCAAAGTCAGGACCTCCCACCAGACCAGTGAAGTTTCCTAGCTGCTCAGCAAGAGCCAACAGCACCTCATCTTCATCATAAATAGTATCTGGAAATGACAGCAGCCAGTTGCTCATCAATAGGGATAAAGGGCACTGAGGTGGCACTCACACAACAGTATCCATACATGGTCCAGCCACAATCTAACAACATTTTCTTCCTTCTCTAAAAGTCTTCCTAGGTACATTTTACAAAATTAGTAAGAAACACATACCCCCACAATCAATTACTTTCCCGTTCACTAAATGGCTAGTGTTTGAATATATGTGACCATAGCATTACTATACACTTGGTGGTGTCTCTTCTACATGGAAAGCACTGGGCTCAGTTTCCTACTTAAAAACAAACTCTTAAACTTACTTTATAAACTAAAAAAATAGTGTTGGGGGGGCTGAAGAGATGGCTCAGAGGTTAAGAACACTGGTTGTTCTTGCAGAAGACCTGGGTTCAAATCCCAGCATCCATGTGGCAGCTAACCACTGTCCATAACTCCAGTCCCAGGGGACCCAACAGCCTTTTCTGACCTCCACCAGCTATTGCATGGCATCGGTGCACTTACCTACATGTAGGCAATACATGCATACACATAAAATAAAAATAATAAATTAAAAAAATTTTTAAATAGTGTTAGAAGCCACTCAAAAATGGTATGTCTGCCTTTTTAAAACAAAGACACATACCTGTAAGGAAGGGCAGCAGTTCAGTCCGAGTCCTTTCTACCCCAAGTGCTAGAGCAATAGTTGATAACTTCTTAATACTATTGAGACGGAGCTTTAAAAAAGAAAATGAAAAGAACAAAATAGAGAAATGGTTGCAATTCAGATCAAAAGAGAAAAACAGATGAAATACTGACACAATGAAGACAGCCTTTCATTTGGATCTATTCCTGAGAAAACTTGGCGGTTTAACACTTCATTAGCCAGAACACTGAAGAGACAGGAAAGGGATGAATGAATGACCGACCACACGCGGGGGCGATGAAGCAGGTGAAACCGTTAAACACAACTCCCTTTTCATAAGTTCCATCACAACTGATGAACTAGGTCAGTCCCACTCTCTCTACCCAACCAGCCCGGCCAGTTTCCAGTCCAGACGCGGCAGCCTGCAACTCTTCAAAGGGGCCGGGCTTCTGGCGCCCCACGGGCCGCTCCACCGCTCCCGGGAGGCCCGGAACCCTCCGGCGCTCATCCACCCGCAGGAGGGCGGCGCAGGAGGCAGCACGGCCCGATAGCCAAGGCGGGAACCGGTTCCCCGCCCGCCGCCCCAGAGGCCCCCGAGAGGGCTGCTGGAAGTCGAAGCGGACCGGAACGGCCCCCAGCGGACGGGAGAGGCCCACCGCGGCCCTTCCTCGCCCAGTACCTGTCGGATTCCCGCCCGGCCGACCGCGGGGCCATTCCCACCGCCGCGCCTGCCCTCACGCTTCCCTACCACGCTCCCTGCAGCGCCCGCCTGGGCTCCTCAGCCCCAGTCCAGTACCTGCACGTCCTCATTGCGAAGCTCGTCGATTAAAACCGCAATCGGATACAGCGAATCGTCTCCATCTCCGCCCGCTGCCCCCGGGGCAGCCCGGGGCCCCGCTGCGCCCGCCATGTTCTTTCTCCTCCGGCTGCTCGCCGCCGCCCGCCCCGCACCCAGGCCCCGCCCCGCACCCAAGGAGGCCGGGCTGAGGCCGGCCCTCGGGCTCTGGGGGCGTCCCGGAGCGGAGTCTTTCTCTTGACCGCCGAGGAACCCCGCCGACCCCCATTGCCAGAATTGTAGATCTGAACTCCAAATGAAGGGTGGGCTGAGAAAGCGAATGGAACCCCTGCGTCCTTGCCCCAGCCGGAAGAAACAAGGACAGGGATTCATCCTCTGCTCGTGGTGACCTGAAGCCACCAGGCGTGAGTGGTGGATGCTGAGCTTTGGAGTCAGGCGGGCCAAAGACAGTTCCAGATGCCAGAAGGAACAAGACCTTAGCACCTCCCCCGACTTCCAGCTGGCCGGGAGCCACCGGGTCTCCAGCCCTAATTGACCCCCTGGGCGGCAAGCCTCTGCAAAACCCCTCCACCCCTTCAGCCTGTTCATCAGAATCCTCCCTGGCTCCCACTCTTTAAGACAAAAAATAATGAGGGCAGCGAGAGAAAATAAACTGTGCTGTCCAAACTCCCCAGTCAATATTTTTTCCACCCAAGCTGTTAAAAGCATGCTGCTCTCTTGTTTTGTGTTTCAGTGTGGTACTGGAACGGTGCCTTCTTTTTTATTTTCTTCCTCCCATTTTTTCAGCTCTTAGCATGCAAGAGGTACAACAACCAGGCGGAATGAGGGCAAGCTTTACTCTCCAAAGTTGGTGGAGTGGACAAAGAAAGCAAAGGTGCCCTCGGACCTCCAGGGGACCCCAGGAGGAGGTGACAACCTGGGAGTTCTTTCTTACAGAACTTAATGGAAATTTTCCATTTACCCTTTGGAGCAGCACAAAATCACTAAAATATCCTGTCTTTCTGTATGCTTTGGACTGGAACTTAAGCGACTTAGAGTGTTAACTGTGTACCATTATCACAAGCCCTGAAATGACACTCTTTGTGCCTGAGTAATAAAACTGTCATAAATTATTAATAAATGCAATTCAGAAGGTTGTTAAAGCATGAGATTCCTGGCAAGAACTAGAAAATAGTTAACCGTTGACAGTGAAAGTTCAGAAATCAACAGGCCTGAGCAGGGTTTTTTGTTTTGTTTTGTTTTCAGAGTAGGTCCATGAATGTATTTTCAAAGGTTTTATTTTTGTTTGGGTAATTTTTAGGTTCATATAAAGCATAGTCTGGACTATTGGGATGGCTACTTTATATTTTAATTTTTTTAAATTATATTTGCTTAGTCATTGCATGTATGTCTGTGTGTGTACGCATGCCTATGTGACGAGCCACAGTGCCGGTGTGGAAAGGACAACTTGCAGGGTCTGTTCTCTTCTACCATGTGGGTCCTGGGGTCTGAACTCATATTGGCAGGCTTGGTGGCAAGCACCTTTATCTGCTGAGCCATCTCAATGGCCAGGGAGGACTACTTTAAATCAATGTTGCCACATGATTTCAGCACTTCTACTTGTGTTTTGGTGCAAATTTTATTGTTCTGGGCTCATGGGAAAAGAACAGAAGTGAATTTTAAATGAAAAAGATGCTTTTATGCACAAAATGAAAGCCAAATGGCATGCAACTGCACTGTCTCAACAGTTCTAAAAGAGGCAAGGAAATTAAGATATTGCAGTGGTGTAGGCATGGTGAGCCTGAAAGAGGCTGAACTTGGCAGCCAGCACCACTCACAACACAAAGTATGGTTTAGTTTTAATAAAAGACATCATTTGTCATATTAAATCACAATACTATTGTTGATATTAATACTGTTAGTCTTGTGGTTTCATTTGTATTTAACTTGTAAATTTCCTTAGGTTTGGTAGCTATATTTGAAACTATAAAACATTATATTCCTGGTTTATATTAGCAAATTTAAGTAAACATTTAATTGTTTAAATTGAGAGTTTTAAGGATTGTTTCCCCCGTAAAAGAAGATCTAGAACCACACATGGTGGAGCATGTTTAGAATTCCAGTGCTTCAGGAGGCAGAGACAGGAAGATTGCTGTGAATTTAAGGCCAGCCTAGTCTACGCAGAGAGTTGTACACCAGCCAGAGTTACATAGGGAGACCTGATCCAGACAGGCATGGTGGTTCATGCTAGTAATTCCAGCACTTGGGAGGATGAGGCAGGAAGAATACCACAAGTCTCTGGCCAATGTAAGCTACATAGTTCTAGACTAGTGTGTGCTACAAAATGTGACCCTGTCTCAAAATAAAGGATCCAGTGCTGGGCTGGAGCTCTGTGGTCTGGGCACTTGCCAGTATGAAGGAGACACTGAGTTCTATCCCCAGTCCATCAACAAAACAGAAACAAGAAGGGATTCATATAACTCAAGTTTGAAAACCAGAGGACTAAGAGGCTTTTAACTGAGTCTTCTACCATTTAGATCAGAAGACAGAAGTTCAAAGACATGGAAACGTGAATTCTATTCCCTATGTAAAATGTCTTCAGACATGCTAAAGGAAGCAAGTACCGAGAACAGATACTTCGGTTCCACCCATCATCATCAGGTTGGAGCCTCGGGCTTAGAAGCTCAGAAGCTAACCAAAACTGGCACACTGATGCTAAGCTACTTGGCTTAGAAGTCAGATGTGACTGCTTACCCAAGCACAAAGAGGAGACTAAGGAATAACTATGATTAACAATGAAATCAGAAGCTCAGAAGGCAGAACCCAGAAAATTGCCTGGTTTGAGAGTCATCGATGCCTGACTTCAGTTCCCACCTCTGTCTCTGACTCATGGTGACCTACCTTTCCCCAAGCCTCAATCACACTCTCCACCCCCTCACCCCAATAAAATGGAGCTAACCACCTGGTTCCCTGCTCCAGTTACTGTGATACTCTGAGAACAAAACAGGTAATAAACACAGAGATGCTAATAAACCCTTCAATAAAGAATGGGATTGAAATAGGCCACAGTGGAGAAAGAAGCTACTTCAAAGAGTGAGCCCAATTCTAAGGCAGGCCCAGGAATCTGTGTCACCTACAATGTCTGTCATAAATTCAGATTCCTGGACCTATGGATATAGCTCAACCATAGGGTATGTGCTTCCAATGCACAAGGCCCTGGATTCAGTCCACGGTATGAAAAATGGAAAATTAGCCAGGGAGATGGCACAGGTGGGTAAGACCGTGGCATAAGCATGAAGATCCTGAGTTCAAATCCCCACCTAAAATGCCAGGGATGGCTATGTGTGCCTGAAACACTACTGCTCTGAGGGGGCAGAGACAGGAGGATAAGTTGGGGTTTTCTAGTTGCCAGCCTAGCTCTAGACTGAGTAAGGGACCCTGTCTCAAGAGAATAGAGTTAAAGAATGACAAAGCAGGAGCCTTTCTCTCTCTCTCTCTCTCTCTCTCTCTCTCTCTCTCTCTCTGATACACACATTAAAAAAAAGTAAAAGGAAGAAAAGAAAGAGGAAAATGGGGCTGGAGAAATGGCTCAGCAGTTAAGAACACTGGTTGTTCTTGCAGAAGACCCGGGTTTGAATCTCAGCACCCACATGGCAGCTAACAACTGTCCGTAACTCCAGTCCCAGGGGATCTGACAGCCTCTTCTGATCTCCGCGGGCATTGCATGACACGGGTGCACTTACCTACACGCAGGCAATACATGCATACACATAAAATTTTTAAAAAAGAGAGGAAAACAAGAAACAAATGAAAGGAAGAAAGGAGAAATAAAAAGTTTAAAATGCAGAGTCCTGGCCTCTACCCCAGACTTACTGAGTCAGAGTCCCTAAAAATGGAGCCAGACATTTTACAGGGCTCTCCAGAGATTCTAATGTGCAATGATGTTTGGAAGTCATTAAAAGCTTCATCTGGAAAGACTGCCATGTCAATCAACAAGCACCTGCTCAGACAAGAACTAAAATGTCTTTGGAGGCCACCTCTGCACCGAAAAAGCAAAGTAACTCTAACTGCTTGTCAGTAAGATTCTGTCTCTACTGGCTCTAGTTTTCGCCAGATTAGGAAGATAATCCCTCTGTTGCTAGACTCCTAAAAGTTAGCCAAGCTCCACCAAGACAGTACTGTGGCTGAGCTCCTTCCATAACCCCCACAGCTCCCTCTGGTCTCCCCTCCTCTTCCCACACATACCACCAGCAACTAATGACCAGGGTGGCCAGAGGCAACAGCTAAGTCTAGGCTGAGGATTTAAGGCAGCCTCTGGAAATGAGACATTCTCAGCACAAAACAGAACTCTAATACCCACGTACAGTTCACTCATCCAGTGTGAATCCAGAGAAGGCAAAGTTAGACTTGTCTCTGTAAGACAATGCATCCTGAGGATGAGGAAGCACAGGTAGATGGAATCAAAGCCATCACAGCCCTTAGTGTCACAACAGAAAAGGACCAATCCTAAGGAATGACATCATCACCCTCCTCTCTGGGCCCTTAAGTGTGCCTCTTCCTCACAGACACAAAGGGTCACAAATAGGCACTGGGCAAATGTTGATCTGATGACAGTGATCTACTGGGTGAGAAGGCAAGCGCAGCTGGACACCTGTCTGTCATTCTGCCACAGCATACCCACACTATTGTCTCATTAGCAGCTCCAGCAAAAGAGTGATGGGTGACCCAGTTCATGAACAGAAAACCTGAGACATTCAGAGGCACCCTCCAACTACAGCCATGTCCTGGCATCAGCCTGGGCTTGGCTGTCCAAATCCCAGGATGCTCAAGGCACTTCTATAAAATGATGTGGTATCGCCACACAGCCTGCAGTCGGCCATGCATTTTAAATTATCTCCATATCATAACACCTAACACAATGTCAACATTATAATAGTTGTTGTATTACTTTGGGAATAATGACAAGGAAAAACCTCTCTTCATGTTCTGTAAATACTTCTATGATAGGTTGACTCTGTGGATGCGGAACCCAAGGGATAAAGAGATCTAACTGAATCTTCATTTAGCAGGATAACCCTGTAAAATGATTCCCAGGTCTGTATTTAATTCATTATAAAGTAGCAATTATCACCATGGCATTAATGATATCTTAAATTTGCATTTATGTAAACACCACCATCATTCTA